ATGATAATTAAATCGTAATCTTGTAACATAAGATTTTCATGTGCAAAACAGATATCTCGTAAATTTATTTTAAAGATATTACAGGCGTTACAAGTTTATTCGATATGTAAAATTCGCTAAAATATTTATTAAAGAGGATACAGCTTAATTTGACGGTTGGAAAAAATTTGAGAAACGGGTTTCTCATCGTCATCGACCGGCTCATCATCGATACCGCGGTAAGAAGGAAAGGAAACGAGAACCCCCCGACCATTTGCCGCGCACACCCGGTATACAGATATCCTGTGCGTGCCGTAAGGGTGGTCAGGTTGCGAATCAGGCCGCGCGAGAGGGAGAGACCGAGACAGACACCCCGAAACCTTCATTACCTTCGGCTTCAAAGGAGCCCATTGTGCCGTAAATGGGGTTCCCCGTGTTCCTTCTTTTCTACTCTCTCGCTCGTATGTACCTTGGATCCGTTCCATTCTTCGGCGTTTGCCTTTCCGAGAGTCCGTGAAGAGGCGAGGTATATAGGAAAGAAGAGGCGGATGTAAGATAGGGAGACGTTTACCCGTTCTTTCCTTCTTTACGTTTACGTAAATTTTCGAGCAATTTCGAGGCCGAATGAAAGACGATACCGAAAGTCCTCGAGTTTGTATAATGTCGCAGCGCGCCGAGTACTCTCTTTCCTTCCATGACAACGGGAATGGTCGAGAAAAAAGGAGAATCATTTAAATGTTCTCTTTGAATGGAGAACTGGTTTCGAAGTAGGGTTGTTCTCTCTTCGTTTTTAAAACGATCTCTAAATTTATAGAATAATGTAATGTCATGATAAAAGACAGACTTTTTCTAAATTAAAAAATTAGTTTTCCCTATATGCATCTATCCACACAATCGTCTATACGGTTTATTATTTTAATATAATTATATTAGTACATGTATATTAGTTACATATATCTTTTGTATTGTTAATATTAAACAGGCTCAAAGTCGGAATTTTATCGACAATCTAGTTTCTAATCTACAATCTCGTGCGCACTTGGAGCGTGAGGAGATATTGTCGAAGGTAACTGTATTGAATATATTCAACAAAGCAAGCTGTATAAAGAGACATCTTTGTGAAAGCATTTAGATTGTTAAATTGTCCATGAAACGGAAATAATCTCGAATTACAGTGGTATCGCTTGCATTGTCGATTTTTTTTTTTGTAACATTTTTACATCTTATTATGATTAATTTTTTTTTTCAAAAATAATATTTGATAAAATTCTATTGATATGACTTTTCTCAAATAATAATCGCGTAGATGCGATGACGATGACTGTTTTATTCACGCGATTGATAACTCAAGAAGCAACCGGTAGATGAAATCGCTCATCGATTTCGAGTAGCTGTCGTTTCCGTTTTCGCTCGAGAACATCGATGGAAATTGTATTACCGCAGCCGTTTAAATTTTTTATCACAGCGTCCCCACTGAAAGTTTAATTCGATCGATGCTAACCCTCGATTCGAAATTGAATCGTAATTTAACTTGTGCTGAAACTTTAAGTAGCATATTCAGATCCCAGGGACTATTTTCGTACGGCGTCCAATTACGGACGTGGGGCGGGTTTCGTCCGAAATTTGTTTCGCTCGCCTTCGTTCGCCAGATAACGGGCCACTTTGTCGTATCGCGGCACCATGAGAGATACCTCGGACAACATTCTCTCCCTGAAAAGATCGGACCTAACCGCGTTGTCCTTTTGCTCTTTCCGATGACCGCCAAAAGCGATCTCGGAAAAGGGAGACGCGAGCGATCGAGCGTCCCATCGTATCGCCGGAGACGACCTCCCTGTATCCTGTATCGGTCTCCCTTCGAGATCATCGTCCACGGTATAGGATGACGCGATTCAATGGTAGGATGGATTGCAAAAACTCGCGTGCTTCAAGTATCATGTTCTATGTCGTAGTTGGAGTGTCCATCAACCATCGATCTCCTAGCGGAAAATATTTCATAATTTGAATCAGATGCGGTTAGATGTCAATTTTATTTATTCAAATTAACACCAATTTGATGAATTAATTTCTTTCTATAGATGTTCTGATTTTATTCCGTCTTTTTACGAAAATTATCATTCATTATTTATTCTCCAAAGTTGGCGCAAGACTCCAAAGTTGGCAACAAGCTTAAAACGTATTTTTAAAATTAAAAGTTAAAAGGATGTTATTGAAGTGGTTTCAAGGCAAAAGACTGATTCGATGCGTTAGACGGTGAAAGAGGGACGCCGACTCTTCCTTTATTTTTTTTTTTCGCTGAGCATTGTCGCTCGGTTCGACTCGACTCCCGGCGGATCAAATTCTAACCAGTCCAGCATTATAGCCGTTGTCCTTCGCCTTTTCCTATCCGCCCTTAGAGGTCTCCGCATTAAAGAGAGTTTAGTCATCCCAAGGAAGGCATTGTGTTACCGCGTTGCGGTGGTACGTCGAGGCAAATAGCGCAGGAAAAAAGTTTCGGTGCCGCGATGGAAGAAGCGCGGTCAAGGGAGGCGAAGGTTGTCGCATTATCGGTTTCGATGAGAGGCCTCTTAGTTTTGAAGGGAAGTAAACGAGCGCGACGAACGTTCCTCGATCGATGCGAAATACATCCTGTAGTGACTTCGCATAATATACATAATGATCATATTGATCGTCCTTAATAATATCGTCATTGAATCACTTTTCGTGAGCGAAAATAGCTCGATAATTTCGCATAATCTTGTAAAATATGCAAAACATTCAATTAGTTTATTCGCAATGTCGATTACCGCGAGTACTAAGTCAGTTTATATATGTGCATCTTATTTCTATGGTTCGACGTACATTCGTTTACCTTACTCGCTTCGAGCGATCAAGAATGAATTGTTAATCGCCGACTTTCTTCTCTGGTCCATCAAGGAAAATTCGATCGCGAATCTTTTCGCATATTCCGAGTGAATGATAAACATATGTATCGTTCATATTCCGCATCCCACCATCCTGGATCCACAGTGCCGCCTACCGGCAAAGATGGCCGTCTTTTCTATTATATATAAACGCTTAGTAAAAGAGTATTATAAGTGAGCTCTAGGACGATAGAAGTGGGCAAGGTAATGCGTGTAAGGTAGCCCCGGGAAGGGAAGACGATGGAGAAGAGGGTGTACATTTGCAAGGGCCGTACGCGGCTTCATAATACCTTGACTCGCCGACGATTTACATATAACAAGATAACGATTTTTATTTGCTTTTGCTTATATAATACGTTTATTCTAAACGGAATCAAGGAGGCGAATCAGGCAGAAGGATAGGTTCGACCGGGACGGGGTGTATGGCGAGGGAGGATGAGTCGAAAGGGGAATGGAGGAGGACCGGCTATCCTATAGGCCTGTCAGGCTTCATTTGCATACATAACATTCTGGTCGACTGGACACCGGTCAGATCTCTTCTCCATCTCTCTTTCTCTCGCTCTCCTTTTACGTTCCTTGCATCGGTTTCTCTCCTTCAGATTGCTTCTACGGCCTCGAGATGTGCGCACCATCCTTCTCCTCCATCTTCGTGTATCGATACACCGCGTTCGGACCCGCTGTTGAGCTCTCTCCTTTTTCCTCTCTCTCTCTC